CCTCCCAAGTAGCTGGGACCACAGGCGCCCACCACAATGCCTGGCTATTTTTTGGTTGCAGCTGTCATTGTTGTTTGGCGGGCCCCGGCTGGATTCGAACCCGCCACCTTAGGTATATGTGGCTGGCACCTTAGCCACTTGAGCCACAGGTGCCGAGCCAAGACACACTTTCAAAGCTCAGCCAGTTTATGATTCTGTATTTGCCTTCACTTCTTTCTTGCATATGACTCCAATATCAGCCAGAGAGGAGAGATTGGGGGCCTCTCAGGTCTTACTTGGGCATGCACATGGACTCCCAGGTCTCCAACGAATAAAAATTGAAAAGGATTGGATCAGAACATTCAAGACCAAAGTGTAACAAAGGCAACAATGTTTATCTTGACACTTGGGTGCAAGTGGGCTAAGATCTAAAGGATGTTAGCAGGGTTCAGGGAGGGAGGCCAGCCTTTTATAGCTGGCTGCGGGGGGAACTGGTTTCTCTCAAGGACCTCCAAACTGTTGTTCTTATCAGAGCTTCAAAGATGTTATCTCATTATCAGGACTCTCCTGATGGCTCTTCTTATCAGAGTGTCAGAGGCTTGCAGTGTCCGCAAGCGTCTATAATTGGGCCCATGTAAAGACATGAGGAGTCTGCAGAATGTCTCTCATATCTGAGTTATGTTCGCCTGTAACACAGTCTCCAGAATGGCTTTTCAGTTCAAGATGGGGTTAGTTCGGCCAACCTAACAATCTCCAGAACTGTCAGTGCTTTTCAAAGCCCCCTGTGGACATTTCACTCCCCAGATCTTTCAAGTTTTTTGCCAGGTTTTGTTTGCCCAAATGATACGGCAGCCTTGAGTAACTGCAGTGTTGTTACTAGGTGTTTTCCACAAATTCCGAAGGGATAGGGATTTTCTTCTGAGTGAGTTTGGAGGCACTTCAAACAATGATAATACCCTGGAATTTTTCCATGGAGCTGCAAAATAGTTCAAATGATAAAAATTTTCTTGGGATGACTTTCTGAGAAGCTCCAGTCCAGGTCTGACCCCTACAGTGCTTGCAATGCTATTGGTTTTCATAGCTTTTATGGTTGCAGGGCTGTTGGTTTTTGTTTTGTTTTGTTTTTTTTTT